CTTCTGTTCTGCCTCGACAGAGTTGTAATTATAGGCAAGATCAGAGCTAAGACTTTCACTTAGTCTTTAAAGCTTGTAACACCGCGAAAATTGTTGATCCTAGCAAGCAAGGATTTGTATAAACTATGGGCACTTTAGAGAATGAGCGTAAGGAACTCGTTTGGTCGGCCCAAAATTTTAACTATGATTCTCTAATTTGGTGGCTTTTAAAAGAGAAAACATATTCGCCTCGGTGTGAGTCTTCGACATCCATTGTCTCATATTATTGCCCTGAGGATTGTATTTTCTTATTTTGAAGATGTGTTAGCTGACTTTAGAATATAGTTTTCCACTAGGTCTAAAACAATCAATGGCCAAGTTCGTCAATTAGTCGTTTTTTTCTTTTTTTTTAGTTTGTTGAGAATTTTTGCAGGGAGACCGTCCACATATAGACTTATATCTCCAGTAACATGTTATGATTTTTTTTCCAATAAATTCCCATTCTTGGGACTGTGAGACCAGAGATATAGGTTACCTTAATACTTATTGATGATGAAATTATCTTTCTCATCTTTTTTAGCTGAGTTATAGGTTGAACTTGTTTGTCTTTTCGCATATATTCCTATTGGATCTAGAACAATATCTCTAACAGTTTGTAGATCACAGGTTTTTATCTTTGATTATAAGTGAATTATATGGTCTTCATCAATATTCAGAGAAATATCTGCAATGATTTGTTAGATCTTTCTTCACGATGAGGGAAAATTCTAGTGGATCTCCTTTTAGGCTTTAAGTTTAAGTGAATTATTTTCGCCTATTAGGAGCGAATCACTGCCATTTTCAAATCAATATAAAATACATAAGCAAGCTTCATTTTTCTATTTGAATTTCAGCGAACAGGTGAACAGGTGGACGGAGCTAAGTCGACTCAATGAATAATCAGAACATGCATATTTTATGCGTGCTCTAACCACCGCTCCGGCAACTTATGCTTCCGTGGTAACTATATGAATAACTTCTCTTCTTTTCTTTGAAAATATTAGGGTGTCCCATAAGTTTCTTGCTGTTCTTGTGACGCGAAATCAACAGACGATCTATTCCGTGTTGACTTGGGACTGTTAATGGCATCCACTACATCGCGGATTTGCAGCGAGCATCCGCGTCTGTTGTCGCTAGTCGGCCACCAGGGCCTTCATCTTTCAAATCAAAATTTGTAGCTCAAAATTTCTTAAACCAATTGCGGACGGTTCCAATAATCGTAGTACCACTCCCATAAACGTTGCAAATCTCGTCTGCAATGTCCTTTACATTACTATCTTTTTTAGAGCAACGGAGCATAAAGCGCCGCCGAAGCTTCTTTTCGCGTAGAAAAAAATTTTAAAATCTTGGACCTTATCACCAAGGGGAACACAATGTCAGACGACTGAAATCGATGCCATCAACGAACCATAGATAAGCCTGCCTGCTAAGTTAACAAACGTAGCCTGCTCTAGATCGTGCATAGCGTGGCGGGAAAAATACTTATGGGACACCCTTACATTTAAACTGTTAACCTCTCGAACATGAGCATGAATTAGCAAATATGTATATATATGTATATGTAGCAACGTAATAACTGCACAAATGTAATAACTGCAACGTTGATGACGTTCAGAGTCACAAAATTTGCTTAATAAACAAATAAATTATGGAAGGAAGACTAAGGGG